TTTATAGTTGAAGTTATGGAAATGTTTTTTGATTATATTTAAATATTTAAGTCAGTTATCAAATGACACATTCGTATGTCTAAGCCTCATGTACCTACTATTTGAAATCAGATTTTTTAAAATATATTTACAGATTCATTTGTTACTTTTTTATCATTTCTTCAAATATTTCACGTTTACATTAAAAAGAATTTCCAGAGAAGCAAAAAAGAAGTATTTACTTTCTGCCTTGCCATATCTGGAAAGATTTTTGGGGACATATTTTATTGTCTATCCATTAATAAATTGTTATACTAAGAAAAAAAAAAAGAATAAAGTGTTGTGTGTCATATCGTCTGTTGTGTGGAGGCGATGGGGGGAGGGGGTAAGTTCAGAGAGTTAATGGCTTAATTCCCTCTCCTCAATACTTATATATCTTTGTAGGCAATGAGCTGACCTGCGCCATTGGTGATACATGCAGCTTTTATACCTGAGACTCTAGCATTAGTTTTGACAGATATTTTCGTTCCTCTGTGGTAAATGTCTCCTTTTTCAGTTCCTCAAACCGCTTGGCAAACCAGTCTTTCTCCTCCTGGCTCTGAAGTTGGGAGGTTTCAATAGAGATCTGCCCACAGTAGGTGTCGTTGAGATAGGCTAATACTTCCTCAAGGGAGGCCTCTTCCTTCCCCATGTTCAATAATCCTATGAAATGGAATCAAAGGGATCATTTTTTAAAATAATCAACCACGTAGCAAATTAATTCTGGAACATAGCAAAATAATTACTTCAATTCAGAGCACTTTGTTCTTAATAACTCGGGTCATTATTAATGCTTATCTAGATTTTTCTAAAGGTACAACTGAAAATACGGTCAAAGGCCATGAAGTAGTTAAACTAGGAGAAGAAAAAAAAAACTTTCTTCACAAGGACAGACCACTGCAGCTTTATGCGAAGTTTTGATTCTCTAGTAATTTCAATCTAAAAATTAAAACCTACCTTTCATCTGCTTTATAGCTATAAAACCTACTTCCTATCTTTATCTGAAATATTTCCCAAAATCTTCAAGTCTTATCAGTAATGTCCATTATTAAACAGTTGGTCTCAATGTGAATTTAAACACGGATTAATATCAATAGCGAAGAAACATTTTAAGGTAAAAGGAAATCTCCCTGAACCGCACCCATAGAAAAGGAAGGTTTGCACCTGTCATTAGCTCAGCACCAAATCAGTTATCAGTCACGTGCTAATCCTACCAATGTTTACTTTCTAGTGCTTGTTATTTCTTACGATAGATCTTAGATACTGATTGATCAATCAACTTATAAAAATTGCTTTGCGTGTTGCATAACCTCTCTCTGCTTCACTTTTCAATCTATAAAGCAGAAGCAATCAATGCACCTCAGGGCGTAGCTGTGAAGATTAAATGAGGTAAGAAACAACCCAAGTGTCCACCCGTGGATGAAAGAATAAACAAATGGGATACAGCCATACAGTGGAATATTATTCCACTGCATAAAGCAATGAAGTGCTGATTCATGCTACAATACGGATGAACCTTAAAAACATCATGCTAAAGTCGAAGAAGCCAGACACAAAAGACCAGATATAGCATGATCCCACTTACATGAAGTGTCCAGAAAAGGCAAAGCCATAGAGACAGAAAGTAGATCAGTGGTTGCCAGGGACTGGGGGGAGGGCAGAATCGGGAGGGACTGCCTAATGGGTATGGGTTTCCTATGCAAAAGTCAGGAGAGATAATGAAGACCTAGAAGCAATACCCTTGATGTTTGAGCAGGACAGGGATTTGAGAAATGCGTAGGATGTGGAATTGATGGGCCCTGGTGACGAATACTGCACAGGAGAGGAAGGAGCTAAGGAGAACGCCCCGGTCCCTGACTCGGGCTACTTAAGGAGCGATGGCACTACAGGGAATATAGAACAGGGAATGTGGGAGCAGACCCAGTCTGGGGAGGCAGTTACCTTTGGGTATGTGATAACAATGAGGTAAGTGTCTGGAGAAATGTCCAGTACGTAGTTGTGTACGCGACTGAGAGGGTTCAAAAGGGATACACGATTGACAAGAGCAGTGAGCATGTTCTTGTGCCTGACCGAAAGCACCGTCACAGAAGTGGGAGGAAGGTGCTTCGCACCTGGCACCAGAGAAGGCAGTCTGTGATGTCACTAAAAAAATCAAGTAAGGACTGAGAATGCGTATTTCTCTGGACTCAGCAGTTAGGGGGGTGCTGGTGAAGTCTGCAAGAGAAATGTCAGTAGGACGGTGGAGGCGAGGGCAGGCTGAAGCAGATGTCATAGCAGCTAAGGGCGAAGGAAGCAGAAACAGTGACCACAGACTGTTCAAGAAGCTTTGCTGGAAAAGCAAGGGGAGATACGGGTGGTAGTTAAAAAGAAAGAAACAGAGGAAGGATTCTAAAGATGTAAGAACCCTGAGGTTCTCTATGTGCTAAGAGGAAGGAGCCCATGGAGAAGAAGAAATTGAAGACTTGGAAAGAGAAGAGACAATTTGTGGACTGAGAGCCCAGAGGAGCCAGGGAGTGGGGTTGACAGACGTGCCAAGGGGTGAGCCAGGCTGAGCTGAGAGACGCTTCCTCCTCCCCAAGGAAGGCAGGAGAGTGAGCAGAGTTACAGTTGGGTCTAGAAGTAGGTACGTTTGTGAGTGAGGGAGTGAGAGTCACTCCTACCTCACCTTCTTGGTGACGTAGGAAGGTAAGCATCAGTTGAGGGTGACAGTGGCGGGTTAGGAATTGTTCTACGATGAGTCAAAGGTACTAACTGGGTGGTATTAAAAGAATAGGACAGGCTGAAACCATGAACCTCAAGCGGCACTGTGGTGAGATTGTGTCCTGCTAAGTTCAGGAGGCCTGGAAATGGCACACTGTTGTACTGGTATCACTGGGGGTTTGGAGAACAAGTGCAATGATAAAGGTGCAAAAAAGTTGCGGGTGGCAGTGAAACTGGTTGCAATGAAGGAGTCTACACTGGGAAGTGAGGAAGGCAAAGCCAGAAGGGATTGATTAACTGAGAACAAAATGGAGAGGCGGAAGAATCCAGAGTCAGACTGGAGTCAAAGCTACGGCAGCAGGCATGAGAAAGGAAAACGGCTCCAAGGACAGCTGCTGATGGCCAGGACGCTGGACATTGGAATTAAGATTTCAGAGGTGTGGCAGCAGCTATCATGGAGTGTAGGCGATGGTCTTAGACTAAAGAAAGCCACAAATGGGGGGCTGTGCTGCTAGATGGGCGTTCAATCTCCCATTTAGCGTCAGGAGTTGCCATGGAAAAGAAGATGGTGACCCAGATACCAACAGCCTCGGCTGTTGACTGCAGTGAGGTCCTCCAGTGGGCATGCCAGTTCTAGATGCCGTCCCAGCTACACAGGAGGCCGAGGCAGGAGGATGGCGCCCAGGAGTTGGAGGCTGCAGTGAGCTATGACACACCCCTATGCTCCAGCCTGGGGAACAGAGTGAGACCCTGTCTCTAAAAAACAAAAGAACTAGAAAGGAGCCCCAAGTCGTGTGGGCAGTTCCCTGCCCGCCCTGGGGCGAATGAGCCGTACCTGCGGTGCTGAAGGGTCCCTGCAGGGTCTGCACCAAGGCTTGGATTTCGGGTACATTCTCCAGCAGGGCTTGTCCGGTGAAGAGCGGGTTGATTTTGGCCGCTTTGTGACCGTGCTCACAATATGCTGTCACCAGTCTGGCAAGGCCATGATCAACTACATCGGAGGGAAACAATACAAACACATTAGGAAATGCCCACAAACCACAAAAATCAGCTTTTCAAAGAAGCTGTTGCAGCCTGAAACACTGTAAATGGCTCCCACCCGCCACGTCTGCGGTTTTCAGGAGAAAGACCATCAGAATCCAGGTAAACGTGTTTGTTTCCTTAAATTGATCTCATGATAGCTAAAGTTGGGAGAGGAAAAAAAGCAAATAGAACTATGAGTGCACATTTGTAAAAATAATTATGCATAGAGATAAATATTAGAAGGAAACACCCCAAACTGAAACTAACTTGAAATGCTCAGATTATGGATAGTTGGAGTCCTCTTTTTCTCCTGGTTATTTGAGATATTTTTAGATCTTATATTTTACATAAAAATAGAGATAGGTAGAACTACAAAATCGATGTTACATTTCCTTCCTTATTTCTTAAAGACCCGAGTACATAGTTATTTCATAAAATCTAAGACTAGGGAAAGACCTTAGAAGTTATCTTGTAACTCACATAATGAAAAAAAATCCCATTATAAAGCCCTAGATGAGCGATTGCTTGGCCTCTACTTAAACGGGAGCGATCATTTTTCAATGGATCCAATTCTATCTTAGACTATTTTATATTGAGCCAAAAGCTGCTTTTCTTTCCTTTTCCATATGGTAGGCCTTCTAACATTTGAAAAATCCTTCATGCCCACACTCAGTTAATCTTCAATTTGTCAAGGTATTCTTACACAAACCGGTCACAAATCCCTAAAGACCAGCAGATCTATCTATTTTTTTTTTTTTTTGATACGGAGTCTCACTCTATCGCCTGGGCTAGAGTGCTGTGGCGTCAGCCTAGCTCATGGCAACCTCAAACTCCTGGGTTCAAGTGGTCCTCCTGCCTCAGCCTCCCAGAGTGCTCGGATTACAGGCGTGAGCCACTGCGTCTGGCCCAGCAGATCTATTATTGAGGGCACATATTTTTTTCAGCATTTTAAATATTTGTGTTTTTCTTTTCAGAACCCAGAGAAAATTGTTAGCATATTCCAAAACTTAAAACGTCCATTTAATGAACAAGTGCTGCCATGGGATGATTTCAGGGCCACATATATACTTGGGTTTGTGTTCCATGTACTGCCGAAGTGTACCTCTTGTCACAGGGTTAGTGAGGCAAGAACAGGGATATGTGGAATACGTCTAGGATGTGTTTGCACCAATACAACAGCCAGATGGATCCATAATATGCCAAACAAGATAATCAAACCACACCACTAAATGAACTGATTTCAGCCTGGAGGTTAGGCATATAAATTGCTAACGGTTCTATTCTGAACCTTATTCAAGTTCTCAGTCACTGGTCTATGAAGCAGGAAACCTTTATGTTCATGGCTAAAATCCAGACAGACTATGTCCCAAGCATTGTCCCTGTTGGCCACTTTCTCCTTTCAAACACACATTCTTCCCGGGGCTCTACGGCATGCTCCTGTTAGCCAGTGTGAAGTACACTGCCAGGTAACTTAAACTAAACTTAATACTTAAATTAAAAGTCAATGTAGGGGGGTAAGGGCAACATACGTAACCTAAACATCTGTACCCCCATAATATGCTGAAATAAAAAAAAAATACAAAAAAAAAAGTCAATGTAGTTATTTTTCATCATCTGGTCATAAACAGCCTCCCCCCAAAAATAATCTAGACCATATCCACCGTTCTATTTTCATTCAAGGCAGCATATGCTTAAAGCAAGTGGGAGCACTGAGTATCTATAAAAACATTAGACTTCCAAGAAAGGGAATTTCATAATTCGAATCCCTTAGAACTCTATTAAAATGAGATGGCTTCCTCTAACTTCACCTTAGGAACTTCATATGTAACCACATTAAAAGCCGAATGACTTTGTACCAGAAATGCAATATTCTGTACAATAAACTCAGATAGACCAAGGCCATGCAACTGGATTCATTTTATATAATACCTTACGTTCCCACCTCAAACATGACAGCTTTATAAAGCAAATTTATTTTGCCAAACACTTTTCTTGCAAAAAAGCCCCAAACTTTAAAAAGAAAGTTTGTTCTGGTTCTTTCAGCTTTTTCCTAATCCTTTCTTAAATCATTGCCAAGATACATAAGGAAGGGTCACAAACTGAGAATAAACGATAGTGACCATTTATTGAGCACTAACTTTTGCTGCACACTGTGCTGGATTTTTTCACACACATCATCTTACTGAATCCTGCAACAACTCAGAAACAGGTGTCCTTATCTGCATAAGGATAAACTGAGACCCAGAAAGGTTAAGTGACTTGCCAAAGGTGGCACAACCCGGTAATAAAGAAGCTGGAATTTGAACTTGTGTGTTTGACTTCGATATAGCGTTTCATTTGTTACACCCAACAGCAGTTGAAAAGAAAAGTCCTGAGCCTATAGCAAAAAGGATGATAGAACTAGACATCCTAATGAAGACTTTTTTTTAAAAGTACAAAAGCTAATGTTTTTAGCCTTCTTTGGTCTGCATTTGTGCTCCAGAATTATCTACATTTTCAAAAATCTCTAATGCACTCAGATTTTCCCCAAACTGTTTTCCCGTGACTCCAGTAAAAGCTTCTGTTCTTCCCAATATGCCACATCCCTACAGCCTCTCTTCAACTACCAAAGGTCGGTGGCAAAGCCAGTAACCACTGACGCTCTTTGGAATCCTGTGCCCCCATCTCCTGATGGTCTCTAAACTCTGCCACTTTTTATAACGGAGGTCCCAAATCCTCCATGATAAAATTTATACCCTTGCATCACCACTTCTAAACCCATCTCCATTTTAAATTGGGATTATTGATAAATAAATTGAAGCTTCCTTGGAAATTGAGGTTTACAGAGGTTAAAGTACAAGCCGTTACTAATAGCTAGCTACAAAAAACACTCATCACAGGTCAAATTTTAACTAGTGAAACCACTGCCATCTGAAAGGTTACTGGAAGTAAATTCAATATCTCTTTAAAGCCTTAATACAAGGGAAGTGTTAGTGAATGATGTGGTCATTCTATGTGGGCATTGATATTAACCAAGATAAACATATGCAGAAGTCCAGTGAAGGATGGAGGAGTGGGGAGGCTCTGTAACCTTGACTATCCCTCCTCCCATCTCACTGTGTCATCTCTGATGTGGGAGATGCCATGTTCTAGCAGGGTTAGTCCTTTGATTCACTTTGCCAGTACCAAAAAGTTATGGACGTGGTCCACCACAGTAACGCAATCATTCCTCTCAACCAAAATGGTACCATGGGACAACTGGCAGACATCATGAAGAAGACTAAAGCCATTGAAACCATGTCCTTGGCCTCCGCAGCTCCCTGTTCTAGTTACTGGAACTGACCATAAACAACATTTACACAGAAGTTAAGGAAAGACCCAGAGAGTCTCAACTGTCACCATCAGCAAAAAAAAAA